TTATTATCTTCTAACATGTTTTATAAATTACACTTTTTAAAATTGGTTTCATCAATGCATTCATTGCAGGACACTTTTTTTTTTAATGTGAAAATTCAAGTTCAAGTAACTATTTCTGATAGACCATGGAAAGAAGGGTGTTGCCCTGTCTAAATAGTGTGAAAGTTTTTGGATTTATGGAGTGCCTGGGTGGTGCAAATGGTTAACGCACTCAGCTGCTAAAGGTTGGAGGTTCGAGTGCACTCAGAGGTGCCTTGGAAGAAAGTCCTGGCAGTGTACTTCAGAAAAATCAGCTATTGAAAATCCTATGGAGTACAGTTCTACTTTGACACACATGGATCATCATGAGCCAGAATCAACTGGACAGCATCTGTTTTCTGTTCCTTTCAGTCCAAACTGACAGGATTTCTGCTGGGGTTGTTGTTTAGACCCATCAGTCACAGGCCTAATCTCTTTAGCAAAAGATTGTGTAGTCATGTCCTTGGTGAAAGTTCCAGGACATACTTTCTTAGTTTACACAACAGAACCTTCCAAATCTTTAAGTTAACATTAGCATACTGGGAAACATTCATTATCAAAAAGATATTTAAAAATTAAATGCGAGGGAGCTGAGATTTTCTCTGCTCGCCGCTATTGATCTCATCAGCAAGGAAACATCTGTATGGAACAGTGATCATATGTTTTGCCAGAATTTGGTATTTGGAATATTGAGGTAGCAGAAACTTCAGGTCAATCATGAATTGCAATCTAAAATAAACTTCTGAGTCTATTAAATTCTAAATTGAAATCAGTATTATTTCATAAATTCCATATCCAACAATAACTTTAAATGTGTGTGTATGCATATATATATATAATGCATATATATGTATATATAATGCATATATGTGTATATATAATGCATATATGTGTATATATAATGCATATATATGTTTATATAGTGCATATATGTGTATATATAATGCATACATATGTATATATAACATATATACACATACATTTAGTGAACTGGCTTGAATGAATGAAAATCAAATGAATCTACATAATTATTTTATATGACTATTAAACCAGCATAAAAATGGAATGTCAGACTATTCTCTTTGGATATAACCCTGGCTGCATGTTAGAATTAGAGAGTTTTTTAAAATGTGCAGTGTTGCAAGGACATCCCCTTCCCTCTTCCGAGGTACTTGGTCATCATAAGAGCTGGCTTCTGGATTAGTGCAAGACTGGGATACACTTGACTGCTTTTATCAGGGTCATGAGGATGTGCAGAACAACTCACCCAGCACGGTCCAGCTGCTGCCCTCACCCAGTATATCCAGCTACATAGGGTGAATTTAAAGAGCTATTTCTTGTCGTTGGTCTCTAGGACCATCCTCAGAAATAATATTAATGAGTGCTGACTCCTCGCCATTATCTTGTTTACTCCCTGCAGCAACCATGTGAGGTATGTATAATGATCAAAATTTTACAGATGAGGAAACTGAAGTTCAGAGAGCTTCAATAATACGCTTGCTCAAAGTTGTACTGTTACTAAGGGACTGTCTGTATTTGAGCCTAAGTTTGTCTGACCCCCAAAATCATGTGATTGACAAATAAAGTCTTCCAATATTGGAACTAGATTGAGGCAAAGCTAAAATCACATTCCAGTTTAAAACTCACACCGTGCTAGGACATGTGAGGGACTGGAAATGAAGGCACAGGCTCCAAAAGAAACTTATAATTTAGTAAAAGATATGAAAACAGTATATAACACAAACCTTTCCTGGAAAAGTAAAGTGAATATCCAAGAACCATGGGAGTCCTAAAATGTATAATGCTTTTTTTGGAGGCCAAACCAAAACCTGTTGCCACTGAGTCAATTCTGACTCATAGTGACCCTATAGGACAGAGAAGAACTGCCCCATAGGGTTTCCAAGGAGCGGCTGGTGGATTCAAACTGCCGACCTTTTAGTTAGCAGCCAAGCTCTTGACCACTGCCTCACCAGAGCTCCTTCTGGAGGACACACATGGAAAAGTCATCAATAAACAGGCCTACCCTTTCTCGTACTCAGGTTCAAATGTTCACCTTGAATACTTACCAGATTTCCTTCACTGCTGCAGAGGTAACCAAAATGGAGAAACAGTGATGCAAACTGGCCATTGAGTAAACTTTCTGGGAGACGGGAATATCTAGGCATACAGAGAAGTTCGCTCATTACTTAGAATGACAACTGCAACAGCACATAGACTGCTTGACAGGTTCTTGCACCATGCACCTGTTCTGAGACCTTTAAAAAACAAACAAAAAAACACTTTGTTTTACTTTCTAAGTACCTTGGTCTTTGTACGTTCTTAGTAAAACTCAGTTGAACAGAGTTTAATAAAGAGAAGGAATAAATTACTATCTTAAGTGTCTGCTAAAAGCAGTCACCAAATTGAATCAATTAAAACTTAAATGTTCAATGTCTAAAGTTAGTGGAGATGCTAACAGTTCTTTATAGTTCTTAGCAAAATTCCTTAATTATAAAATAATATTTAAAGTCCTTTTGGTACATTTACTACCTTTGATGAAGGGAATAAACTGCTAATTTCATGCATATATGCAGCAAACATCAATATTATATATGTAAATTAAGGGGTATTTTAACTGGTAAGTGTATAGAATTATGTAGTAATTAAATCAAGTGATAACAAGTACCTCTTTCAAAAACCATTATGAATGGATTAAAAATAACCTGCAACAGAGACCTGAATTTTAAAAACTAGTTGCCATCAAGGCGACTGTGACTCATGGCTACCCCACGTGTGTGAGTAGAACTGTGCTCCACTGGGCTTTCGATGACTGATTTTTTAGAAGTAGACTGCCAGTCCTTTCTTCCAAAGCACCTCCAGTTGGACTCGAACCTCCAATCTTTAGGTTAGCAGCTGAGCACATTAACTGTTCTCACCACCCAGAGACTTCTCAGACCTGAATGTGGTTAGCAGCAGTGGAGTTGGCCCCCAACTCATAGCGACCTCATGCACAATGGAACAGAACACTGCCCAGTCCTGGGCCATCCCCATGATGGGTTGCAGATTGGACCACTGTGATCCATAGGGCCTGAATACTCGTTTGTAAATAGGGTTATTGTTATGTTTTTATGCCAAATTTAGTACAGATGGTTGTGACATAATGGAAGGTACCATTGCTTGAAATCAGAAAATTCAATTGTGTGACTTCCATCTTATGCAATTCAACTTTCTGAGCCTCTATTGTCTCAACTGTTTAAACAGAGATACTTGTGTCATCAAATTACAAAGGTAAAATGAGAGCACATGTGGAAGTGCCTGAGTATCTAAACTCTGTTGAGAAGATTGTGAAGCCCAGGAATGTGTACCTGAAATAAAATTAGATATCCAAGGGTTGAAATGTGACTCCGTGGGGCAGGGAATGCCATGATTAAAAATATAGGTAAATATTTTGTTGTTTTAAATGATAAAATTTCATTTCAGGAAGCTTGAGTCGACTGTAGATAATGCTGCTGCAGGAGTAGTGGGAAGGAGCAGGGTTGAGCTGGAGTCGGGAGAAGGGCCTGTAAGCAAGGTCAGAGAAGCCTTTTGTAGGTATCTGGCATGAGCTGAATGCCCAGACAATAGAAAAGGAAGCCCAAGAAAATTTTTGTGGGGATCAGAGAAATTATTATGAAATGTGACACTACTACTCACAGGGTAATATGGCCTAGGCAGACCAAAATGATACTTCTTTGCTGATCAGAGGATGAGAGAGCCTCTTAACTGGGTTTGGAGGTCTGCACAAAGATGATTGAGAAAAAAAAAAAAGGCAGAAGGACTGGAGCAGGGCTATAGGAGTGAAATAATTGGTTAGTAAGTGAATCCTATGGGATGCCTAATTGAGTCTAATTTAATGACTCATTTTATTAGACCAAACAGAACAGAAACCGTGTTCCTGTGTAGCAAGTAAGAGTGGCACCAGCCTGTTAGAAGATTCAATATTACTGGTTAGATTAAAGCTGAGAAAAAACCAAGGGCAACAAAAATCACATTTTCTGGTTAGGTCCAGAACAAGGATAGAAAAGGGATAATACTTCAAACAGTTTACTGACAATGTAGAAATTAATTACTGAATTGAAAATGTAAAATGAACATAAAAGAAAGGAAATTTAGGATTAAGATGGATGTCAAGCTTGAAAAAAAACACCTAGTTCTCTAATAGTTAAAAGTTCTCCCAGCCTTGAAAAATTACACCTCAGCAAGTAGAGCTTGCAAATAAGAATTGCACCAAGAGTCAGTACATCTGTTTAACTCTGTAACAACACAATTAAGTCCCTAACTCAAATCAGAAGTTTTGGGCCATTTATGTCAAATTTCTGTTCATATGGCTAAAAACTCTTGGTTATTTTTATAGATCTTGCAGCATCCATAGGCCTCTCTATTACAGAGAATGCAGATGCAGAAATGTTTATCCCCCAACCTTCATGTAATAGCTGCTGAACAGCAAAACTATCATTACTGGCCACTGAAGCTGTAAAGTCATTTGTTTACAGACATTATATTTAGATCATAATTTTTTTGTTGTTGTTATTCTTTCTTTTGAAACACCACATTGTTGTAGGAAAAGAATTTAAGTAACATTTGCACATAAAATGTACAATGAGTCATTCTTCCAGAAGTCCATCTTAAACTAAGAAGAGAATGAGGCCAATGGGAGCACAGTTAACATAAATTCACAAACTAGGATGAACAGCTAGAACAGTTTCCCACTGAAAACAGAATTTTAAGTGATAAAATCAATATATGGTACTGCAATTACCACTCAAAACTCAAGGAAAAATTATGCTCATGACTATACAATTGCAGTTGGACTTACCGTTTTTCAAGCAAAAAATCTTAAGAAGGTTTGGTGGTGGTTGTCTTTTTTTTTTTTTTTAACTTTCAGGAAAATGCTTACTGTAACTATTTGATAACTTTAAGGATTTCCCAACTTTTTATAACTAAGACAATGCAGACAGACTTACTTTTATTTTTACTTTTATTTTTTGGTGAAAATAAATGTAACAGAGTAACAGACTTTATTTTTCCTTCAAGTACATAGGAGAAGACAACAATGCTAACAATCATCTAGTTTGACAGCAATTCTACAAGTACTTACACTGGTTAGGAACATAAAATGTCAAGTACAACATTACTAGTAGGGCAAGAAATTATCAGGTAAGACAACAATTATATTTTTCTTTTTGAGATTACGTTCAAAAGACATAGCAACAATTTCCAAAATCTTCAGACTCTGCAAGGATCACATTATTTGAATTATATTTCTACGATTAGATCTATAGATAAACAGAGACCAGAACAAGCAGATATATAAGTGAATATTCACACAAGTCTTCATACTGCACAGGAAAACAAAATCGGTATTTTTGCGAACGTTCTCAATTACAAGCAAAAAGGTCTGTAAACTTCAATTTTCCCAGTACGCAAATACAGGGAAAGGAATTAATAGGATTTTACTCAAAAACAGTGACATTAGGAACATGTATCACTAATCTACAACATATAAAAGGGCACTCCTAGAACAATAGAGAGAAAATATCAAGACTTGCATTTTTATTTACAAAAATCTACTGGTGAATGCAAGGAGTTAGGGAATATTGGAGGAAAACCCTAACCCCTTTGATTCTCCCATCCCTACCTGGAAACAGCCCCGGGGCCTCCCCTCCCCCACAGGCCCTGCAGAATTCCAGGCTCATTCTCAAGCAGGCACATTCAGCCTGTATTCCGTTTCCTAGCCTAGAGAACTTGGAGTGACCCACAAAATGTTGCCTTGGGGTTTATACCTCTAAGTAGTCCAAGGCCCAAAAGAGAATTTCTATGTTTAGAAAAATGTAGTACAGCTAGCTTTAGTTGCCTTAAATCACATCCTGCTCTGCTTCTGTTCTTTCTTTCCTCCCAGTTTCTCATACTAAAGCTCAAGAAACCTTCAGGAGGTTTTGGGATAACGGATAAGGAAAAGGGGTGAGGTTGTCAAAGTTAGCCTAAAAGAACACTGCTCCTAACTAAGCAATTAACCTATAGGTCTCCCTTTGAAACTTTCAGGCCTTGCTAAAGGAAATGAGGTGGAGGCATGGGGGCAGAAGAGGGCACTAAGAGAGCTGAAGTCTATTTTACAGTATGTCTTTCTCCCTCTGGACATGATCAAGAGGACAGCAAATTACAAAAAAGGCCTACTTTCCCAGTTTTATTTTCTGTTTCTGAGTTGTAGCTTCTTTAGAGAGAGAAAGATAGGCGTAACGGGCTCCGCAGACCAGAGATACCTCTTTCTCAGTGGCACTCTTTCCTTCCTGGCACCCTTGTCATGTTTAGAGTAGGTGCAGGAGGGGAGATGAGGGTGGCACCTAACAAAGTTGCCATGACTAAGTGTGGTTCGTTGGCTGGGGCTCAGAATGGCTGCTGCTGGAAGGGACCCCATTCCCCCCTTGCTTTGGGCATTGTCACATATGACTGCACAACCTGCCTGACAGCAGAGTGGGTTTATGGATAATCATTTAAGGTTGAGGGGGTGGAGAAGATGTTTTCCTGTGTACTGGCTGGGAGCCTGGGTCCACAGACAGTACTGCGGAGGCAAACAGTGGTGGCCTAGGCAAAGCTCACCCAGAAAAGTGAGAGCAGGTAGGGGTGGACCATAGCACAGACCTTCATAGACTCACCAGTAGCTGGTCATGATGAAGGGTGACTGAGGCACAGAAAAACCAATGTAAAAACAGAGAACGCTTCTTGTCCTTCACCTCATTCATGCTTAGCAGCCACCTACTAGCCACCTGCCTGTTCTGCCACATAACCAGCAAGGTAGACGGCATGGGCCAAAGGAGGCAGCTGAAATTCAGTTGATGGAGGCCTGGATTGTCCAGTTTGGGTCGACGGCTGGCATCATCCATATTAGCTTCATCTTGCAGTGGTGAAATGCAAAAGCTTGCCAAGGAGGGCATGGGTTTCAGGAGCACAGTCAGCATAAAGCATGAAGTCCAACTAGTTGTGTGCAAAGACCATCAAGCTTCCTTGTGCATTTCTTGTAGTTAATCACATAAAAAACCGGGAGAAGACCACAGCCACAGACAGGGTCCAAGCCATGCAAAGGAAGGCAGTGCATATCTACAGCATCATGTGGTTGGCACAAAGTGGTGGTAGGCCATGGGCTAGGAACATGTTGCAGAAAAGCAGTGAAGGCTGACAGGAAGCAGAAGAGCACAGACACAGAGACAATCTTGCAACTGACTGTTGAAGATTTAGAAAAACCAAACAACAATCCAGTATGAAGAGAAAGCAGATAGAAGATTGCATGCTGTTGGCTAAGCATAGGTCCAAGAGGAGGTGGTAAGGAAACTTGTTAAGGAGCTTCTCACAAGGGCAGGAGTTAGCCGGACTGGAACCTGAAGGACATGGGATTCTCCACTGGCTGCCTTCCTGGGCCTCGCATTCCTCTGCGGGCACCTTCACCCATCAGGTAGTATTGCAGGGGATTGGGCCACAGTTCCTCTTTGATAATCTCGGCAATCTTGTCGAATTCTAGGAGGTTGTTGTCTGAGAACCAGCTGAAGAAGCTGTGGATAGTGTTTCCATCCTGGTTCCTGTGGACGTGGGTCTGGGGGTCTTGGCCCCGGTGCCATCGGATTGGAGTGGCAAGACACACAACTCGGCCAGAGGATCTGCGTTCGTATTCCTTGACGAGCGCCTCATTTCGGAAATAGGGGTTGCATTGAAAGATAAACTTGAATTTGCAGCCGGCTCTTGGGTGTTTCAGCTCCTCCACCTCCAAATTGATCATGTACTTCATCATATCTTCATCTTGGCCACTGATCATCGGTGATAGCTGGGGGTGGTTCCGAAAGGCAGTGACCCAGAACGCTGGGATATTCTGGATGATGAAGCTCCTGCGCTGCATATGGAGCCTGCGCATCCGGCCAAACTTGCGCTCCAGCTGAAGGAAGGCCCGGTCAGCCTGGGCGTTTACGTTTGACAGCTCCTGATCGATGGCCTCCAGCGAGTCCATGCAGTTATTGACCTTCGGTACTCTGGCCCCTTTCTCCTCTTTCATCTCCCCTCCTGCCTTTCTTTCCTTCTGTACCACCTTCTTTCCCTCTGCCACCCCCTCCGCTTCTCTCTTCTTTTCCGCTGCCACTGAGATGGCGCACTTTTTAGTCGTCACTTCCTTGGCCTTCCCCCCAGCCATCATCTGAGACCCCAACCCTACTGCGCCACAGGCTTCTAGGGCCTTCTCCCCTGCAGGGCTGCGCAGCTCTCCACCGAGACGGCCATTTTTCAGGCTGTGGTCAAATGCCGCAGAGGCAGAGGCCGCTTTCGGGCGTCCTGCGGGAGGTGGAGCTTTTTCCTGCCCGACTTTGGCCGCAGCCTGGTTGCGATTAATAGGAACTCGAAAGCGGAGCGCGAAGCCACAGTCGAGAGAATCTGCGGCGGTCTCCAAGGTGACACCAGCCATGTCCGCCATCACCTGTGTCACATCGGCTTCCCTTCGGAGACTCCGGTACTGATGTGGGTCTGAGTCTCCCGCGGCATGGTCAGGAGTAGCGAGGTCACGGTTTTTAGCGCAAGGGAGCTTATCGCCCCCATCCAGGCCACTCATTTTGATAGAAGTCAGACCAGCGAGAGGAGCGTCCCTTGTCCTTGTCCTCTGTGGAAGCCGCGCTCCTCCCCAATGAGCCCCTTCGCGCCACCCTTCTTTTCGTCTTTGGCTGATTCTTCCATGGCAACGGGTGACGTCAGGGCTGTCGCATCTTACAACCGCGCGAGAACGCGCGTCTCCCCTCCCCCATTGCGCTTGTCATCCTAACGTATTCCTTTGTTTTCATATTAAAAAAATGTGAATTTAGTCAGTCTGGAAAAAAGATGTGACTTAATAAATGGCGGTAAACCAAACTCAGACAAATGAGAACTGTGTGAATGAGGATTTCTAAGATTCTAACGAAGCGAAAACCTAAAGGCTTATGATTAGTAAAGTGGATTCTGCAACTCACAGGCCTTCCTTCTTTGTACAGATTCTTGGCTATTACCAAAGAATTGAGACTTGCAGAGCTTGATTTTTAAGAAAAGTGGAGTGTTGCTGTGTTAAGTGTGATGATAATATTAGGAGCGGTTGAAATGGAAACTCTTCTCATCCTAACAAGATACAATAAAAAGATTATTTAAACCTGCCTTACAGATTTTAAAGTTTATGTACTTTGGACAGCATCTATAAAGCAATTAGACAATACTTCCTCATTTAACAATATGGGTTGCAAAATGTTGTTTTTTCCTTACTTAGAGATGACGCTCCCCACCTCAAACATACAAATTTCACCTTTATTACTGAAATAAATATTTTAGGGTACTTTAATTTCTCAAATGATGTATACTATATGTTGTTCATCCTCAGGTTATAATCTTCATCTAAAAGGAGTTCCTGCTGCATAATGCCGGTGGGCATGAAGCCAGCAAATATTGCCAAAATTTTGCTCTATAGTAATTCACTGCAGTAAAAAGGCAATAATCAACTGCAGCCACCTAAGCTATTAAACATCTCTTAAAATATTTGCTTATGTAAAGTAAGAAAGTTTACCTATTATCTTCTAAGTCAGTTAGCTCACAGAATTCTTCTGATAGTGACATCATAGTGACATCATTACTGTCTGCTATTTGTGTTAGTTTGTTGGGATGTGAGAATACTGGTGTTTATCCATAGAAACATGTAAGACCGAAGGGAAACTTAAATCTTGCATATTTATGTTTAACGTCTTAAGTTCATATTAGAGAAACAACTATAACTCTTTGTAATATAAATTTTCTCAGGAAGCACCCCAGATTTTGATCACTTCAAACAAGGGCTCTGAAGAGAATCCAGTGAGAAGTAATGATTTAGAGAGAAAACCACTATGTAGAATGAGACTTCTAATGAGAAAAGTAGTACAAAAATGGTTCAACTAAGGATGAGGTGCTGATGGAAAGACACTGGCAGACATTACAAAGAAAACATCTGTCACACAGTTTCATAGTTGAGCTCATGAAGGTTTTCTGGAGAATTCATAGACAACTGAGTTTTTGTCGTACCTCTAGTAGCCTACACAAGGACATACTATCTAAATTGACCTCTACTGGCTGCCAGCTAATCAGTTATCCTATAAAAAATGTGCAAGCTAGATTCATGCTTCTCCAACTGCAATTACTTTGCCCCCTTTCCCTTATTAAATCTTGCCTTTGAGGGGGAAAATCTATATACTGGTTTATCTTCTTTGTAAACAAGTAAACAGTATGCAATAATTAAGTGATTGCAAGACTGAGTCATTCTTTAACTCTACGATGCTTCATTTCTTTTTCTAAAGAATCTTTTCACTATTGAAGGAGCAACTCTCTTGGATTATAACTAGAGCCAATATGCAGAGAAAAAGCAGATGCTTAAGGAGAAATTACTTTGTCACACGGGGAAAAAAAGTGTTTTCTGTTTGCAACAGAAAATTATCCAGTTATGTAGGGCTACTAACGGTGAACTTTTTTCTCTTGATGTATATATTAAAATTTTAAAAACATTTATATCTCTTGTTGTTGTTAGGTGCTGTTGAGTCAGTTCTGACTCATAGCGACCTTATGTACAACAAAATGAAACACTGCCTAGTCCTGCACCATCCTAATAATCATTGTTATGCCTGAGCCCATTGTCACAGCCACTGTGCCAATCCATCTGGTTGATGGGCTTCCTCTTTTTCGATAACCCTCTACTTTACCAAGCATGATGCCCTTCTCCAGGGACTGGTTCCTCCTGATAACATCCAAAGTACGCGAGATGAAGTCTTGCCATCCTCGCTTCTAAGGGGCATTCTGGCTGTTACTTCTTCCAATACATTTGTTTGTTCTTCTGGCAGTCCATGGTGTATTAAATATTCTTCACCAACACCATAATTAAAAGGTGTCAGTTCTTCTTTGGACTTCCTTATTCATTATCCAGCTTTCGCATACATATGAGGCAACTGAAAATACCAGGACTTATATCTCTACTGCTTGAAATATCCTTGTCTGTAGCTTTGGCTGTGATGTACGCAAGGTCACCTCAAGTTGGAATCTACAGCAACAGGTTTATTTTTTTGGTTTTAGCTTTGACTAATCCTGTCACCTGAATCATTTTCCACTCATGACAGCCCGTCCATTTTTTAAAACTCATCTCAAGTCATTAATGCATTTAAATGCATTAAATTTCATAAGCAAAAAACTAGGAAGCTCAGAAAGGTTAACTAGCCTATGGTTATACATATATTAATTGGCAAATTGCCTCCTCCCATCTCCGGTGTATAACTTTCCTTAGCCATCTTACCATCCTGTTAGTCCTCTGAATTTCTATAGCTCTTATGACTTTTGCCATCCAATTTGGTACTTATGTATCCTCCACTTTTTAACTTTCTTGATTGTTTCATGCAGGTCAGGCTCATTCAAGCTAGATAAGGAAAGTTTCTTGCTTTAGCATTTACTATAGGATAGCCCAGTGACTGTCTCATAGAATGTTGATCAAGAATTTTCTTCGGCAGAAGTCTTCCTGATGCTTTTCGAGTGGGGAATCTAGAATCTGACTCTGGAGTGGGAAATTTCCAGTGCTTCTGTGAGGCCTCTGTTGAGTTCTCATTTGGATTTTGGTCTTGTTTATCGCTTTTTCATTTTAATTTTGATCATCTTCTTTTGCTGAGATCTCATTTGATTTTTGGTTTGTTGTTTTGGCACCTCCCTTCATATGGGAAATTCTGATTTTCCTTCCTCCTCCTCCCTTACTGCCACTGTGACACTCATTCTGTCCAGTATCTCCAAAAATGGTCAACTTTTACTAAATGCAATGTAGAACTTCAATTGCCTTTTTTGGGAAACTTGAGATCTTCACAAACTGGCTCATCTAAGACCTCTCCCTTTCCATCATTCTCCCCTCACTCCTTCTTCCTTTTTACCACCTTCGACCTTCCCTTCAGCTCCCTTGAATCCTTTGATCTGTCCCCCTTCAACACTCCTTCCAACCCTGTATTCACCCCTGTCAGACCCTTCCTTTCCCACTCCAGCTCCTTCACACTCCATACCTGTAACAGACTGGCCTCCCCCACCAATTCCCTATACCCCTTTTTCCCTGAACCTCCCGCTCCACTCTCAATTTTCCTTTATAACCCGGTTCATGGACCACCTCCTCTTCAGTCCAATAAACCACTGCAGCAGGGTGCTCAGGGACCCCTAAAAGCAACCACCTGAGGCTGAAAAAGTTAATTGGAAACAAACTGGATACTTTATCCACTCAGATAGACTTTGGAAACACCCAGACCCCTGGGGTGGTGTCTCCTCAGTTCCTTGCCCAAAATTTAACCCACAGCCTCCCTAAAATAACACAACAGTGCAAAGAAAATCTTAAATATTTGTGGGGAAGCTTTAGCCCTCATATTGAATGATAACGCCAACTAGTTCCATCTGCCAGAAACACAATCCTGGTAAAAATATAAAGGCAGAGTAAGAACTAAAGTCAGCTCTTTTACATAAACCTCTGAGTTTTATACTTTGGTGTTTATGCGTAATTCATGGCTGAAATTTTAAAGATATAAGCTCTATAGTTGTATCTGTATGTTTATACATTCCTACCTCTGGATGGTATTACCAAATTAACTTATAAAATCCCTTAAAGGAGCTCTATTTTAATTTAGAGGTAAATAAGCATTCATATAAACTTTTTGTTTGTTTGTTAGCTGCAGTCAAGTTGGCTCTGGACTCATGGCAACCCTATGCACAACAGAGAGAAATGTTATCCAGTTTTGCACCATCTCCATGATCAGTTGCAGATCAGACTGTTTGTGATCCATAGGGTTTTCACTGGCTGATTATTGAAGCAGATCACCAGGCCTTTCTTCCTAGTCTTAGTCTGAAAGCTCCACTGAAACCTGTTCAGCATCACAGCAACTCACAAGCCTCCACTGACAGATGGGTGGTGGCTGTGCATGAGGTGCATTGGCCTAGAATCGAACCCAAGTCTCCTGCATGGAAGGTGAGAATTCTACCACTGAACCTCCAAATGTGCCATACTTTATGTAAATTAACATTGATAACTCAGAAGACATAGCTGTTTTTATTAAACAACAGGGAACTACTCTTATTTGCCACAGAGTCACCTAAATTACATGAACTTAAAATTTTTAAAACATTTGGGTTAGTTTTCATAGGAGTACCCTTTTTTTTTCTACATTGGAAGTATCAGAAGTTCAATTTTCTTAATTTCTGGGAGTTTTAGGGGTATTTAATTGATAATACTTGACAAAATTAAGGGAACCAAGTCTTCTCACTTTTGAAGGAGTTAGGTTTTTTAATAGCCATGCTACCTTCTATATTTACTTTTAAAATCTTTTAATATCACTTTGGTTAAATAGGTAGTCAAGTATTGTTTCTCCATAACCATGATCCTGCTTAATCAAGTATTCAAATCTCCTGTTAGCTTTTGACATTTTGCCTTTCCAAAATCTAATCCTAAATAATATCTTTTGCACCTAAAACTCTGGAAGATCATAAAGGATTTGTCCTTTCACCTTGTAAAAAAAAAAAAGTACTACAAATAACTAGGCTTATTTGATAGGTTATGAGTTGTATGGTAAGCACTGTCAAATAAGGAGAGATGCTTAACTTTCCCTAGGTTAAATTTATATGGAAAAAATGTTATTAATGTAAGTATTTCAGAAATTGTATAAAGTTTCTAGATATTTTTCAATGCTCTCCCTGTCTGTGATATGTCCTGGTTCTGCTTTGCCTCATGAAATGTTATCAGTCATAATTTCAAGTTCTAAAATGTTGCATGCCACAGAAATACTGTATTTTTACACAAATAGCACATGCCTTTTATGTTTG